GGGAAAAGAAAGGAGGGAGGGAAATGCAGCAAGAAGAGGAGGAAAGGCTATCGGAGATAAACAAAGAGGGAGGGAAAGAGAGAGTCTGCATACTCAATCAGTAAGTGGTATCTGGGTTCCTGGTAGAGCAAGTGTGTGTGTGCATGTGCGCGCGTGCAGTGGTGGCGCAGTGGTCTAAGGCACTGCATCGCAGTGCTAGCTGTGCCACTAGAGATCCTGGTTCGAATCCAGGCTCTGTCGCAGCCGGCCGCGACCGGGAGACTCATGGGCGGCGCACAATTGGCCCAGCGTCGTCCAGGGTAGGGGAGGGAATGGCCGGCAGGGATGTAGCTCAGTTGATATAGCATGGCGTTTGCAATGCCAGGGTTGTGGGTTCGATTCCCACGGGGGGCCAGTATAAAAAAATATCTATTCACTAACTGTAAGTCGCTCTGGATAAGAGCGTCTGCAAAATGACTAAAATGTAAAATGTGTGTGTCTGAGGTCACTGTGCATGGCGATGGCCCAGTTGAGAGAAGAGAATAAAGTTCTCTGGTCAATGTTTGTGTGTGTGTGTGTGTGTGCATGCATGTGTATCCCTAAGTCTGTAACAAGGTTATCATAGTTTTGTGCTTTTATATTCCTTTTTATTTCTATTAGTTTTTCGAATTGTATTTGCAATTCAGTTTAGTTTCAGCTCGTTTTCAGACCTGATTTGCTAGTTTTTATTTAGTATTAGTTGTATAAAAATATTTATATTTCATTTTAATATTATTTAGTTTCATTTTTCAGGGAGGTTTCAGGGAGGCTGGAGCCGTTTGTATTCTATGTTTTTATTTGTATTTTTATGTTGTATCGGAGATGTGCCCATTCTTCACATGCAAATCTACTCTCTTATTGGCTAGAATGTTCCAGCCTGCTCCCGCCTCCTCCCGCCTGCCTTCTGCCTTTTCGGACATTTATTCCCATTATTAGAGCATTGAGTCCCATCTCAGTATATAGTTACTCTTTGGTAATACATTAGGTGATGGGTCAGGTCATAGGTTAGGTTAGGTTGAAATTATAAAGTAAATCTCAACGTGACTTGGATTTAAAAGAAATAGTGCCGAGACTGGTGCAAAAAATATGGGAGAAGGAAACTCTCTCTTGCCCATTTTTACACCAATCCAAGTACATGTTTAGTAGTAAGTTTAAAAGAAAAACTAAAACTGAACATAATTCATGATGGTTTTTATTATATTTTAGTTAGTTTTGGAGTCAAAGATAGTTTCAGTATAGTTTTTGTTTTTCAAACGGATTTGTTAATTATTTATTTGTTACAAAATTGTTTTCTTATGATTAGTTTCAGTTTTTGTTTACTATAATGACCTTGGTCTGTACACTCAAAGTACATGACAGGACATTTAAATCCTGCAGAACCGTAACATCAGTAAGGAGCAGCAGAGCTGAACATAATAGAATGGAAAATAACCCCTTTGTCGATCCCTCTCTCTCTTTTTCTCTCTGACTGATCCAGACTCCCTCCTCCACTCGCACTCTTGCCCTAGTTCCTCTCCTCCATTCTGTCATTTTCTCTCAAAATGATCCTTCGTTCCTGTTGAAGGTTATGGAGACGATGGCGTAGTCACTGGAGTGGAGTGTGTGTGTCGAGGGAGAGGCGGTAATCTAATAAAGGCTCCATTTAGCCTCTGGCTAATCAAGAGAGAGAGAGAGAGAGTCGAGAGAGAGAAGAGCGATAGAGAGAGAGAGAGCTAGCGAGAGAGAGCTAGACTACGCTTCTCTCATAGATAGCTAGATTTCTCTCTCTATCCTAGCTCTCTCTCGCTCTCTCTCTACTCCTCTCTCTCTCTCTGACTCTCCTCTCTCTCCTCTCTCTCTCCTCTCTTCTTCCGCCTTCTCTCTCTCTCGTCTCTCTCTCTCTCTCTCTCGTCTCTCTTCCTCGCCTCCTTCTCTCTCTCTCTCTCTCTCTCTTCTTCTCTCTCTCGTTCTCTCTCTCTCCTCTCTCTCTCTCTCTCTCTCGTCTCTCTCTCTTCTCTCTCGCTCTCTCTGGCTTAGAGGGGCCGAGTAGTTATCTCTCTCTGGCGAAGCTCTCTCTCTTCGACGACTCTCTCTCTGTCTCTCTCATCGTCCGTTCTCGCTACTGCTAGCTTTTTTACCACCAAGCACTGAGAGCAGTGTTACCATGGTATTTTGAAGTTGTACATGAAGTAGCTAGTGAACTTATCTAACTGTGCTAGCTTTGTACGTCATCAAGTCTAACGAATCAACAGACACCCTGCATGTAGCGCTCCCGCTGGATCTGGGATGAATATAACACAGGACCAGCATGTTTTCGATGTTACCCATCAATCAATATGAATTCTTCTTTAATAAATTATTTACATTCTCTCATGTCTTTTCTCTCTCTTTCTCCTTTTCTTACTTTGCCTCTCTAGCGTGGTGGGAGTTAGTGTTCACACCCCTTTACTTTGTCCACATTTTGTTGCGTTACAGCCTTTTAAAATGGATTAAATTGAGATTTTGTGTCACTGGCCTACTCAGAATACCCCATAATGTCAAAGTGGATTATGTCAATAAGTATTCAACCTAGTCTCTCGAGTGGCGCAGTGGTCTAAGGCAGTGCTAGCTGTGCCACTAGAGATCCTGGTTCGAATCCAGGCTCTGTCATAGCCGGCTGCGACCGGGAGACCCATGGGGCGGCGCACAATTGGCCCAGGGTAGGGGAGGGAATGGCCAGCAGGGATGTAGCTCAGTTGGTAGAGCTTTACATTTTAGTCATTTAGCAGACGCTCTTATCCAGAGCGACTTACAGTTAGTGAATACATATTTTTTTTATACTGGCCCCCCGTGGGAATCGAACCCACAACCCTGGCGTTGCAAACGCCATGCTCTATCAACTGAGCTACATCCCTGCCGGCCATTCCCTCCCCTACCCTGGACGACGCTGGGCCAATTGTGCGCCGCCCATGAGTCTCCCGGTCGTGGCCGGCTGCGACAGAGCCTGGATTCGAACCAGGATCTCTAGTGGCACAGTTAGCACTGCTATGCAGTGCCTTAGACCACTGCGCCACTCAGGAGCATGGTGTTTGCAACGCCAGGGTTGTGGGTTTGATTCCAACGGGGGGCCAGTATATCAAAATAAAATAATGTATGAACTCACTAACTGTAAGTCGCTCTGGATAAGAGCGTCTGCTAAATGAAAAAAAAAAAAAAAAAAATGTGTTATAGCATGCCTGGTTGTTTAGCACAAAACATTTGATGGGTAGTTTAGCACAAAACATTTGCTTAACAAGTCAAATAATAAGTTGCATGGACTCACTTTGTGAGCAATTATAGTTTTTAACATGATTTTTGAACAACTACCTTATCTCTGTACCCCACACATACGATTATCTGTAAGGTCCCTCAGTCGAGCAGTGAATTTCAAACACAGATTCAACCACAAAGACCAGGGAGGTTTTCCAATGCCTCGCAAATAATTGTTAGATGGGTAAAATAAAAAGCAGACATTGAATATCCATTTGAGCATGGTGAAGTTATTAATTACACTTTGGATTGTGTATCAATACACCCAGTCACTACAAAGATACAGGTGGCCTTCCTAACTCAGTTGCCAGAGAGGAAGGAAACCGCTCAGGGATTTCACCATGAGGCCAATGGTGACTTTAAAACAGTTACAGAGTTTAATGGCTGTGATAGGAGAAAACTAACATTGTAGTTACTCCACAATGCTAAGCTAAATGACAGAGTGAAAAGAAGGAAGCATGTACAGAATAAAACATATTCCAAGAGTACCAGTCTTCATACTTTGAAGCATGGTTGTGGCTGCATCATGTTATGGGTATGCTTGTCATCGGCAAGGACAAGGGATTTTTTTGTTGTTGAAGAATAATGTGCTGATATTGTTCAATCCAGGTGTGCAAAGCTCTTAGAGACTTACCCAGAAAGACTCACAGCTGTAATCGCTGCCAAAGGTGATTATAACATGTATTGACTCAGGGGTGTGAATACATATGTACATTAGATATTTCATTTTCAATAAATTTGCTAACATTTCTAAAAACTTGTTTTCATTTTGTCATTATGGGGTATTGTGTGTATATGGGTGAGATACAAATATATATTTAATCAATTTTGAATTCAAGCTGTAACAACAAAGTGGAATAAGTCAAGGGGTATGAATACTTTCTGAAGGCACTGTATATACTGTATATTTTAGTCTATGTGCTCTGCTTATTTTAATCTATGTGCTCTGCTCTGCTGTGTGTGTGTGTGTCTCTGTTCTGCTGACTTTGCCCTGTGGCTCCAGAGCTGTCAGTCTGACTTTGCTGATGGGATAAGAGAGGGGAGAGGAAAGATGAGAGGAGGGGTAGAGGAGAGGGGTAAAACACTAACATGCACAAGCTTACACATGCTCATGCACAGTGCGGGCTCTACTGCCCTAGCAGCAGGTACCACAGCCAGATATGCAGACTTCAGCAAACTCAGGGTGTGTTCCATTCCCTTGGGGTCAGGGGTCACTACTGTGGAAGGGAACGAGTCTGAGTAAAGAACTACCCTGGGCAGTGAGCCCTGTAAATGGAAGGAGCACACATTTAATTCATTCAGAACTCACTGCCAGTAAATGGGCTCCATTCACCCAGCCGTAGTTGATGGACTGCAAGTGACGACAGTAGGGGCCTTATATTTTGATATGTTGATGCCACTTGAAGTGTACCCTTAGCTGCTGTGAGCGTGGTCTTTTCAGTCACCTGTTTTCTCTGACATTTAGGTGACATTCTAGACCCGCTAGGTATGGCTGTGTGTGTAACGGTAATGGAGGGAGAACAAGCTTCAAAGGGAGAGCTGAAAGGACTGTTTCTATTCAACAAAGGCAAAGCGATTACAGCATCCATTACAGTTATTTCGTTTTTTATTTTATTATTTTTAATAAATTCAGGAGGTAAACTGAAATTCCAGTTGCCTTTTCTCGATTACAGTTACTGTTGCCACGTCATAAAGCAGCTAGTGATTCTGACCTCATGGACATAACAATACCTTACAGAAACAGTTTCTTCTCTTTCGCTCCTCTTTCAGACATGATCAGACATGCCTCCACTGACTCCACCCCTAGTGACAGTGGCTCCACCCCTAGTGACAGCGGCTCTAGTCCCTCCCCCAGCACCCCTCAGAAGCTGCTCCCATCATGCACCTCTCTGTTTGGGCCGCGATTGGTCCGGGCCACGCCCAGCTCCTCCGCGACCCCGCGACCCCAGCCTGAAGGTTCCGACCGTCGCCACAGTAACACGGTCCGGCTTAGCGGGAAGTTTGGAGGTCACGGACCCTGTGGACGCCGCAGCGGACCCATGAAGATGGAGAGAATCAAGGTGTGTGTGTGTATATGTATGTGTATGTTTACCAATGGTCTCCTCTTCTCTTTATTTTTTTCCAATGTTCATCCAACGTTTTCATTATGTTCTCCAGGTCCTGATGGGCTCAGAGGTGGAGAGTGACTACAAGCAGCCAGAGAACATGGACACACGGGTGGTGATGGGCCAGGAGTCCCTGCTCAAGACCAAGGAGACCCTGACAGGGAAGTGCCCAGGCAGACAGAGCAGTCAGGCGATACCCCTGCCCGGAGGCCCAGTCTTGGAGGTCCCTATGCCTCCCTCAGAACCCCAGGCCGAGGCTGGGGAAAAGGCCCAACTGGACACAGGGCAGGAGAGAGACAACTCACCTCTGACCCCAAAGATGGAGCAAGAGCAGGAGAGAAGCCCTGTCCTGCCCATTAGCCCTCTCCTCACCTCTCTGCTAACCCCCCTCATGCCTGCCTCCCCTCCCTCCTCAGAGCCAGTCACAGTGGATGTTAGTTTGACGGGCAGCTTAAGCCCATTGGAGGCAGGGCTGTCTCCCTATGGTGAAATGTCTTTTGTATGTGCCATGTATGCTATGCCTTCCCTGTCCGAGCCAGCGTATCCCCCTGCTATCCTATCTTTCACTGAGCCGGCCTATGCCGTGGACCCTCTGAGAGTGGGCGTTCCCTCATCCCTGGATCCTGACCTGTACTACACCGCCCCCTCCACCCCCATCAAGATGGCTGCTCGCCCCTCACACCTCAAACACCGCTCTTACCCCGGCTCCCCAGCCTCTCCTCTCTCACCAAACTCCCCCTCGGACAGCGAGGACCTGTGCTCCCCCCTCACCTCCCCCTCTGGCTCCTACGTTACTGCGGAGGGGGGCAGCTGGACTTCTTCCACCTCCCCCTGCACCTCCCCCAATCTGCTCCTGGCAGAGGAGGTGCAGGAGGCACCTGCATGCTTTGTCAGCTCGCTGTCTGAAATCGGAGACGAGGTGGGGGAGGATAGGGGAGCAGTAGGGGAGAGGGCAGAGGAGAGGGGAGGAGGAGCAGCAGAGTGGCGGTTCTGCCTCTATAAGGGTCTAGCAGAGACTGTGATCCTGGAGGAGGAGGAGGTGCTGAGAGGGGAGGTGAGAGGGAGGAGGAGTGAGGAAGCGACAGTCTCAAGGGGTAGCTGTCGCCCTCGCTGGGTGACAGAGGACACTTCCCCATTGAGGAGCAGCAGCGGCAGAAGCACCGACTCCCAGGAAGAGGGAGGGGAGTCGGAGGGCTCGCTCTGCCCAGCAGAGGATGCTCTGGCTGGGGGACAGCAGTACTCTAGTCCCCTGCTGCAAAGAGGCCTGGAGCTGGAGCTGCAGGCCTGTGTGTCTGAGGAGCTTTACCCTCCCATTACCAACTCCCCACGGCTGACCTCCATCTTCTCCCCCTTTTCCCCAGACATGGGGAACCTAAGCCCTCACACCTCCAGCGTCAACCCTACTTCCCCCAACCTCACCCTGGACACCTGCTCTCCAGATGTGTCAGACGGGGATAACTCCAGTCCGTACGGAGAGATGGGTCCCTTCCTGCTGTTCCCAGGCTCCTACAGTGATGATGGAGAAATGGAGGAGGAGGAGGAGGAGAGGATGATCCCAGCCTCTCTGCTTAACTTCCCCCTCCACACCAGCCTCCTCTTCCAGGCAGACTCCATGGAGATCACTCTCTTCCCCACAGAGGAGGGGAATGAAGGGAATGATGTGGATGCGTACGCGGCCGGAGAGGAGGAGGGGGACGTGGAGGATGATGATGAAGATGATGATGATGATGATGATGATGATGAGGAAGAAGTGGAGGCTAAGGTAGAGATAGAGGAGGCTAAGGTAGAGGTAGAGATAGGGGAAGAGGTGGATGAAGAGGAGGGTGAGGATGTTGAGGAGGAGGGTGAGGGTAAGGCTGTAAATGACCCAGCTGAAGAGGACACCTCGGCCTCCTTCCTTCATTCACTGTCGGAGACTTCCATCAACGAGGGGCTGGATGAATCCTTCTGTTTCCATGACGACACTGACGACTCACTAGACTCTGCCTCTTATAATGGCGAGGAGGATGAGCGGCTGTATAGCACAGAGAGACATGCTGAACCACCCACAGAACCACCCACAGGACCACCCACAGAACCACCCACAGAACCACCTACAGAACCACCCACAGAACCACACAAAGCCAAACCTCAGCCTGAAACCAGACCAGAGGCCCACTGCACTGAACCGTCCCAGTCCCAGAGGAGACCTAGCCTAAACAATCCCCCAGGAGCCAAAGAGCCCAGGCCTGATGATCCTCCAGGACCTAGACCACCACAACCTGCACTTGCACCTGCCCAACCTGCGGAATCAGCCCACCCCGAGTCCTCCAACAGCGGCAGTGAGAGTGAAATGGAGATCTCCTCAGAGTCCTCTGACCCTCCTGTCCCTGCTCCTTCTCAGGAGAGCCCTTCTGTCTCTACCCTTACCCCTAAACCTGCTACAACCCCTTACCCTGCTACCCCTACCCTAAAGACTATCCCTAAGACTACCCCTGCTACCGTGTCAACCCCTAAAACCAAGCCTGCAACTCTCTCTAACCCCAACACTAACCGTGCAACTGCCCCTAACGCTAAATCTGCTACTGTCTGTACCACTAACACTAACCCTGCTACAGCCTCAACACCACAAAATAACCCTGCTACTTCCTCCACCCCCAAAACTATCCCTGCTACCATCTGTCCACCTGAAATTAACCCTGCTATGGTCTCTACCCCTAACACTAACAGTGCTCCTGCCCCTAACGCTAAATCTGCTACAGCCTTTACCACTAACACTAACCCTGCTACAGCCTCAACTCCAAAAACTACCCCAGCTACATGCTCTACCCCAAACCCTGCTGCTACTCCTAACACTAACCCTGCTGCTACAATCGAGGAGACAGCGTCCCACAGCAATCCTGTCACCCTGGCAACGCAGCCATCCCATAACAGCCCTGTGACCCTGGGCAACAGAAACAGGGCCAGCCAAAGCAGCTGCAGAGGAAGTACGGGCTGGTACGGTGAGAGAGGAGGACAAAAGGAGTGGTGCAAAGAGAGAGAAAGACAAACAGAGCGGTGGGGAGAGAGAGAAGGACAAAAAGAGCAGTGGGGAGAGAGAGAAGGACAAAAAGAGTGGTGCAGAGAGAAAGAAATACAAACAGAGCGGTGGGGAGAGAGAGAAGGACAAACAGAGCGGTGCGGAGAGAGAGAAGGACAAACAGAGCGGTGCGGAGAGAGAGAAGGACAAACAGAGTTGTGCAGAGAGAGAGAAGGATGAACAGAGCACAGAGACTTCAGAAGAGGACCACACAGAGCAGACAGACAGAGACTCGTTCAAACTACTCATTAAGCCACGCCCCTCTAAGTCAGACACACCCCGGCCTAAACAGAAGACCTCTGAGCCCTGTAAGCCCCTCCCACGTGTGTTTGGGGTTGCAGCGGCTTCAGTCCGGTCCAACCCGCTTCTGGTGTCAGTGCTGGAACTGGACCAGAAGAACGGGAACAGCAGGCGCTGAAGGTGTGGACTCCCATCTGGTCCTTGAAGGGACCACTGCCACCAACGACCTGAACAAGGGGGTCCCTCTGCTCTCGTACCCCAAAGAACCTAACCCCAGCAACATCCCTGTCTCTTCCTGCCCTGAGAGCTCACCTGACCTGGCTAACAACCTGTCCCTGACCCCTGACCTCTGCCCATGTGACCCCGCCCAGGAGAACCTGAGGGAGAACACCTTGAGCACTGAGGATGGGGGCCCTGGGGCCCTCGGCTCCCCTCACACACCCCTGGCTGTCTCTCCCAAGAGGGAGAACTCAGAGACAGACACAGGGGGGAGGAGGGGAGCTGGGGGCTGGAGGGCTGATAGGAGGGAGTTAGGAGCAGGGGCTGGGGCCTGGGGGGCAGGGGAGGCCCTATCTCTCTCTCTGGGGCAGGGCTGTGGGTTGGAGGCACAGAGCCTGTTACTGTGTGAGGTGGAGGGACATACGGTTGGACAGACAATTGGACAGACGATTGGACAGACACTCTCCGGGCTGCCCAATGTCGGCACAGACGAGGATGAGGTGGGTGATATAATGGGGGACGAAGACGACAACAACAGCCTGTGTGGTCGGCCGGACAAGATGGCAGATGTCGAGCTCGTGGGAGAGGGTGTGCCAGAGTCCAACCTGTCCAGCTGGAGGTCCATTGAGGAGATCTCAGAGGCAGGGGGAGGAGAGGACGGAAGCTCCCGATTCCCAGAGGATGATGTCAGCAACCTGCAGAGTCACCCTGGAAAACAAGGAGGAGCAGGAAAACAACAACGAGTCAGTGTTCCTATCCTCTGGAATGCCAACCTGTGTGACTCTGAATGCCCTGTCGGAAGAGGTGAGACACCAGAGCCAGAGTGTGAGTCTGAGGGCGTCCCTCTCAAACATACCACTCACAGAGGTGAGACCACAGGCTGCTGTAGCCTCCGATAGGCCAACAACATCAACGGACAGCTCAACACACCAATCAGACACAAGACTGGCTTCCTTGTCCATGGAAAGCCCTGGGCGTGTCTCACCACCAGGAGGTAAACCACAGACTGTCTCAGACCAGAGCCCTGGTTCAGTAGAGGCAGCCATTTCCAGACCCAACAGTAACACAGATCTTAACCCAGCAGTCAAACAGGTAGACCCTGCTCTGTCTCTGCTGGGGGGGGCGTTTGGATCCTTCAGCCCTAAAATCAGACCAAGCAACTCCAAGTCAGCCAGACTGTCCCAAGAAACTTCGCCATCAGTGAGGAAAGACACAGTAGAGAATGTCCAAGTCTCCCAAAAAACGTCTCTCTCAGTGGGCAAAGACAAAGTAGAGAAGGTCCAAGTTTCCCAAGAAATGTCCCCATCAGTGGGCAAAGACACAGTAGAGAAGGTCCAAGTCTCCCAAGAATGTTCTCTATCAGTGGGCAAAGACACAGTAGAGAAGGTCCTAGTTTCCCAAGAAATGTATCCATCAGTGAGCAAAGACACAGTAGAAAAGGTCAATGTCTCCCAAGAATCTTCCCTATCAGTGGGCAAAGACACAGTAGAGAAGGTCCACGTTTCCCAAGAATCTTCCCTATCAGTGGGCAAAGACACAGTAGAGAAAGTCCAAGTTTCCAAAGAATCTTCCCTATCAGTGGGCAAAGACACAGTAGAGAAGGTCCAAGTTTTTCACAAAACTTCCCCATCAGTGAGCAAAGACATAGTAGAGAATATCCAAGTCTCCCAAGAAATGTCCCTATCAGTGGACAAAGACACAGTAGAGAAGGTCCACGTTTCCCAAGAAATGTCCCCATCAGTGAGCAAAGACACAGTAGAGAAGGTCAATGTCTCCCAAGAATCTTCCCTATCAGTGGGCAAAGACACAGTAGAGAAGGTCCAAGTTTCCCAAGAATATTCCCTATCACTGGGCAAAGACACAGTAGAGAAAGTCCAAGTTTCCAAAGAATCTTCCCTATCAGTGGGCAAAGACACAGTAGAGAAGGTCCAAGTTTTTCACAAAACTTCCCCATCAGTGAGCAAAGACACAGAAGAGAAGTTCCAAGTTTCCCAAGAAATGTCCCTATCAGTGGGCAAAGACACAGTAGAGAAGGTCCAAGTTTCCCAAGAAACTTCCCCATCAGTGAGCAAAGACACAGTAGAGAAGGTCCAAGTATTCAGAGAATCTTCCCTATCAGTGGGCAAAGACACAGTAGAGAAGGTCCAAGTTTCCCAAGAAATGTCCCCATCAGTGAGCAAAGACACAGTAGAGAAGGTCCAAGTCTCCCAAGAATATTCCCTATCAGTGAGAAAAGACACAGTAGAGAAGGTCCAAGTTTCCCAAGAAACTTCCCCATCAGTGAGCAAAGACACAGTGGAGAAGGTCCAAGTATTCCAAGAATCTTCTCTATCAGTGGGCAAAGACACAGTAGAGAAGGTCCAAGTCTCCCAAGAATATTCCCTATCAGTGAGAAAAGACACAGTAGAGAAGGTCCAAGTTTCCCAAGAAACTTCCCCATCAGTGAGCAAAGACACAGTGGAGAAGGTCCAAGTATTCCAAGAATCTTCTCTATCAGTGGGCAAAGACACAGTAGAGAAGGTCCAAGTTTCCAAAGAAAGTTCCCCATCAGTGAGCAAATACACAGTAGAGAAAGGCCAAGTCTCCCAAGAATCTTCCCTATCAGTTGGCAAAGACACAGTAGAGAAAATCCAGGTTTCCCAAGAAACTTCCCCATCAGTGGGCAAAGACACAGTAGAGAAGGTCCAAGTTTCCCAAGAAACTTCCCCATCAGTGAGCAAAGACACAGTAGAGAAGGTCCAAGTCTCCCAAGAATGTTCCCTATCAGTGGGAAAAGACACAGTAGAAAAGGTCAAAATTTCCCAAGGATCTTCACTATCGGTGTGCAAAAACACAGTAGAGAAGGTCCAAGTTTCCCAAGATATTTCCCTATCAGTGGGCAAAGACACAGTAGAGAAGGTCCAGGTTTCCCAAGAAATGTCCCCATCAGTGAGCAAAGACACAGTAGAGAAAGTCCAAGTTTCCCAAGAATCTTCCCCATCAGTGAGCAAAGACATAGTAGAGAAGGTCCAAGTTTCCCAAGAATCTTGCCTATCAGTGGGCAAAGACACGGTAGAAAGCATGATAAAACTCTGCTCCCAGCCTCAGCAAGAGGAGACGGTGAGCCAAAGAGAGGGTGGTGGCGGTCAGACGACTGACAGGCACATTGACCAACCAAAGACGAGCTTGGCCTTAGAAGGGCAGGAGAGCAGTGTTTGTATCTCAGGGGAAAGAGAGGTGAAGGAGAGAGCAGAGGAGAGATTCTCTCCAACAGAGAGTGTTCCAGAACCTGCACAGCATCACATACCTGAGGGAGAGCTGAGCACAGAGAAAGCCATCACTCCTCCTCAGCCAAGGAGGAGAGGGAAGCAGAGGAAGCAGAGCAGAGACAGACCCAGTCAGCCGCGCAGACAGGCTCCGTCAGGCTCTGGGTCTACTGATCAACTTCAGGAACCAGCTCTCCCTGCCAAGACCCCAGCAGACGCCTCCCCACCAGGGAAACAAAAGAATAAGAACACAAGGGTCCAAAAATCTGCTGCAGACACCAGACAGAGGACACCTGTGAAAGGCAAACCTGAGGCAGAGTCCGAGAGGAGAGGGGAAAACAGAAACGTCTCTGGTGCCCTGACTCCCCCTAGTCCTACCAACCTCAGCCCCATCACTCCCGCTCTCCTAGTCAATCAGGAAGTGAACCCGGAAGTGCACCAGGAAATGCTTGATAACAGGCCGCTGCCTGGTTGCCAGGCAGAAAGCAGGAAGGACATAAATGATAACAATGTGGGGAGTGGCCATGCCTCCCCTACAGAACAGAATAGGTCCTCTTCTCCTCCACCTCTTCCCTCCTCCTCTCCTCCCCCACTTTCCTCCTCTCCTCTTTCCTCATCTCCCCCACCTCTTCCCTCCTCCTCTCCTCCCCCCCTCTTTCCCTCTCCTCTCTCCTCCTCTCCTACCCCCAGTACTTTCACGGTGCCAGCCAGATGAGGACCTCCCCACCCCCATACAGGAGTCCCAGCCTCTCCTCACCACAGCCCAGCCTGTCACCCCACTCCTAGACACCCAGCCTCAATCAACCAATCTTCAGGCAGCCTCCGCAACCCTTTCTACTACCCATATCGCCCTTCTTAAGCACCCCCCTATACCCACCAAAAGTGTCCCTATGTCCCCTACCCCCTCCTCATTCTCATCTCCACCCACGTCAGCCCTGCCCTCGACCCCCAGCCTTACCCAGCCCACCCAGGAGTCTCTGCCACGGCTGGAGGCTCCAACCACAGTGCCTGTCCTAGACAACCGCAGGCAGGCCCAGCCCCAGCCAAACCTCCTCACCGAGCCCAACAGACAGATCAAGCCAGGTCAGTCACAAAGCCCACAGGACAGAGGTGATTTACACTCAAGAGAGATAGGGGTGTGGGGTGATATGATTTTCTCTTTTTGGTAATCAAGAATCAGTGAATCATGAATCAGTCCTACCTGTGTGAACTTGTATTTTGTTGCAGATGGGATGGACATAGACAGTGATGCCGATGACACTGCTGTTCCTCTACGACATCACATGACTCAGCCCAGGGGGATTGTGGGAAAATCTTCTCATAAAGAGTCTGGCTCCTCCAATCAGCGAGAGATACTGCTTCACTCCTCCCACCATCCAACTGACAGACAGACAGACTGTCCAATCAGCCATAAGGATTCACAGGAGCAGGACCTGTCCTTCAAATACAACGGTACGTGCTCTCCAAATCCATCTCTCTCTCTCTCTCTCTCTGTCTGTTTCTCTCTGTCTCCTTGAGAAAGTGATTCTGAGTAGTGACCTATGACCTTCCTCACACACACAGATGGCTCTGAATAAGTCTAGTGGTCCTGCTGTGGTCCTGATGAAGGACATACTTTAGATTCTAGGAAGGCTTCTCAATACTACCCTGTCGACCACAGAACACTGCTGCAGCTACTGAATAATGGAGGAGAAATACTCAGAGAGAGGATCATTTTATTCAGGAGGAATACTGTTATTGCACATCTTTCAATAGAGGTTATTTCAGGGCAACCGTCAGTCAACCTGAAACCTCTGAGTCAATCTAGCTAAAACTGACCTCCCGGTAGATGATACGTACATAGAATCATGGATGGGGATTTATGTGTACCGTATGTGTGGTAGCACTGCAGAATAAGGAACACTGCTACTTGCATTGAAACACAGTAGTACTGAATGTAATTATGCATCATAACATGCATGTTCCATAACATAGAGATGAAATAACATTGCTATTTAATGAGGTGATCTATTTCTCCTCTAAGATCGGTGATTAGGTTAGCCATAGAGCTTTATGATGGACTGTCCCATTACCAGAGTGCTAACGATCTACACCATGTCCTCATCATCTACATCTCAGTCATTAGTTACCATAGCAATGAGGATGTGATGCAGTCCTCTGAGAGTAACAGTGTGTGTGTGTTCCACAGTGGGCTCCTGCAATGAGTCGGAGAGTGAGGGATCAGTGCCAGAGTTGGAAGAACCAGAGCGGGTGCCACTGAGATCCTCAGAACCCCAGGTGAGTCTACCGTGTGTGGGCAGAGAACACTCTAGAAGTCCCCTCACCTCCAAGGGTGGAAACCTTGCTTTCACTGTGTGTTATGTAATAACATATTGATAAGTCATTAACTTTAGGTAGTGGGGTAAGAAGGATGTGTGTTGTGGGGCCTGTATTTTCTGAATGGGTCGCAGCCTCAGAGATCTGTTCTATATTATCAGTCTTGATATGGGTAAACTACTGTAGAATGTTCTCAGGTTTGATGTGTTGAATTGATTTTGTTGTCCTCCCTTCCCTCTCAGCCTATTTCTCCTGCTGATGAGGGGATAAACAGACCTAAGCAGAGCCGCAGTGAGAAGAAGGCCCGCAAGGTGAGATGTGAACACAGAGCTGCTCCATGCGGCAGACTCAGCTAATCAAACACAGAGCAAATGTGTGTGTATTCTGTGTGTTTGGCCGCGTCATGGTGAAATCAGTGTGTGTGTGTGTGTGTGTGTGTGTGTGTGTGTGTGTGTGTGTGTGTGTGTGTGTGTGTGTGTGTGTGTGTGTGTGTGTGTGTGTGTGTGTGTGTGTGTGTGTGTGTGTGTGTGTGTGTGTGTGTGTGTGTGTGTGTGTGTGTGTGTGTGTGTGTGTGTGTGTAGTCTCCCGAGTGGCGCAGTGGTCTAAGGCACTATATTGCAGTGCAAGCTGTGCCACTAGAGATCCTGGTTCCAATCCAGGCTCTGTCGTAGCTGGCCGTGACCGGGAGACCCATGGGGCGGCGCACAATTGGCCCAGCGTCGTCCAGGATAGGGGAGGGAATGGCCGGCAGGGATGTAGCTCAGTTGGTTGAGCATGGCGTTTGCAACGCCAGGGTTGTGGGTTCAATTCCCACGGGGGGCCAGTAAAAAAAATTATATATATATTTTAAAAAAAGAATGATGTATGCACTCACTAACTGTAAGTCGCTCTGGATAAGAGCGTCTGCTAAATTACTAAAATGTAAATGTAAGTGTGTGTGTGTGTGTGTGTGTGTGTGTGTGTAGGCCATGGGTAAGCTGGGCTTGCGGCCGGTCCACGGTGTGACCAGGATCACTATAAGGAAGTCGAAGAGCATCTTGTTTGTCATCAGCAAACCTGACGTCTTCAAGAGCCCCGCGTCAGACATCTATATCGTGTTCGGAGAGGCCAAGGTGACCTCCTAACCTTCTCTCTCTCGCTCACTCTCTCTCTCTCTTTTACCCCCTCTCTCTTTATACCCCTCTCTCTCTTTTCTCTCATCTACATTGTGTTCAGAGTCAAGGTGACCTCTCTCTCTCTTTCTCCTCCCTCTGTCCTTCTTGCTGTACTCTCTCTCATCCCTCTCTCTCATCTCCTCTGCTCCCCAGATAGAGGACCTTGTCTCAGCAGGTGCACAAGGCAGCAGCAGAGAAGTTTAAGGTTCCGGTGGAGCCGTCCCCCCTGGCGCCCCCTGCACCACCCAGCCTCACCATCAAGGAGGAGAGCGAGGAGGAGGAGGTACGGATATGTATGCTCACTCATTACGTCAAGGAAAAACACCAATCTTTACACTATTCTCACTCTTTCATGTGCAGTAGTTATTTTAGATCTTAATATGAAACAATTCTGTCTAGTGTTGCTATATTGCAGTCCTCTCTACTGCAGTAGTGGAAAAAGTACCCAATTGTCATACTTGAATAAAAGTAAAGATACTTTAATAGGAAATGACTCAAGTAAAAGTCACCCAGTAAAATCCTACTTGAGTAAAAGTCTAAAAGTATTTGGTTTTAAATATAAAGTATCAAAAGTAAATGTAATTGCTAAAATATACTTAAGTGTCAAAAGTAAAAGTAATAATCACTTCAAATTCCTTATATTAAGCAAACCAGACGGCACCATTTTCTTGTTTAATTTATGGATAGCCAGGGGAGAAGCATGTGTTTAGTGACTCTGCCAGATCAGAGGCAGTAGGGATGACCAGGGATTTTCTCTTGATAAGTGTGTGAATTAGACCATTTTCCTGCCCTGCTAAGCATTCAAAATGTAACGACTACTTTTGGTTGTCAGGGAAAATGTATGGAGTAAAAAGTACATCATTTTCTTTAGGAATGTAGTGAAGTAAAGTACAGATACCCAAAAAAACGACTTTAGTACATTCAAGTATTTTTTACCACTGCTCTACTGTAATTAGCCTGATGGCTAATAAGAACTGTAGCATTGTGTTCCATGTTCAGAAGTGTTCCATAGTGCAACTGACCTTGACCTCTGTCAGGTGGACGAGGGAGGTCTGGAGCAGAGGGATATAGAGCTGGTGATGGCCCAGGCTAACGTGTCCCGTTCTAAAGCTGTCCGCGCACTCAGACACAACACGAACGACATCGTCAACGCTATCATGGTGAGGAGGGAGGGATGAAGGAATCTGTAGTTACTCACTATGTCCACTAAATGTCACTGTTGGGCCTACAGTTGCGGTTATGATCTGCTGATGATTGCAACGGTGCTTTTTCAACAGGTCTTGAAAAAAAATAAGAAAAGCTTAACAATGTACGTTCTTCACGCATCCAACCCCAAGTTATTCTCTCCTTCTCACTTTCTCATTCTTCTCTCCCCAGGAGCTGACCATGTGAGAGGACCCCCCCCCCCCCCTTCCCTGTCAAGCATAAATGCCACAGTCATCTGTATCGCTGTTATGTTGCATCCTCATTACCTGCTAATAAAAATGTCTGTTATAACCACACTAGTGGACGATACTGTTAACCACCCTAATACTGCACATGTCATGTATGTGTAGTGAAAATGGGACATTTTACAGACAGTCGCTTTTATTACTGGTTAAAATATAAAACATACACAGTCAAACAAATGTTCAGTTCAGAGAAGATGTCAGTTTAAATCAAGCTCACAAATACATGCCCACATTGAGTAAAACATTTTTATTATTCTTTACCAGAAATGATTTTACTATTTATCCTACAGCATTAGAAATGAATTGTTTGTATGTGCTTTCTCAACTCGACTGTTTCCTTACAAATACAACCCAGTCACTAAAGGTTTTAGCATTTATGAAATGTCTAGATGAGTATATTACTGTAGCAACATCACAGGTGAATCTCTACCCCCACTAACACTGGAATGAGTAGGTCTACACCCAGTTGGGTGGCTGGTACTCCAGAAGCCACAGCTGGGGTGGTCTGGGTTTGGTCAATGTTGTGCATATATATTTGTTCATGCATTTGTTAGTCACAGTGGTTTTGTCTTTATAAAAAAAAAAATATATATATTTTTTTATTTATCTCAAGTTACAAGTCAAGTCAAAGTGCAAATGTCTTTTGGATGGTCAGTTCCTGGGGGATGGGGGTGACGGGTCAGTATGTTCCTCAGTCCTTGGGCGGCAGGACGTTGTTGTCAAAGTGTCCCTGGTTGGTGATGTTCCCTGCCGGGAAGTACCTGGCCACCACGAAAGACGAGCCGTCTGACGCACTGGCCTTCCCCACACCCAGCTTCTTACTGCCCTTCCACACCATCGCTGTGAAATGACCTGGGGGGGGGGGGGGGGAGAAAGAAAAAGAGAGAGAGCCAAGCTAAACACATTCACTGAAAGAAGCCGTCTGCAGCACTGCTCCTCTAAATATTTACAGCTACAGAACCCTATATTCATATCCTCCCCCCTCTATCGTCCCCCACCCCCATATACACTATTTTCCCTCTATTGCACACTCCCATTTCTCCCTCTCTGTCTTTCCTCTCCTCCTTTCTGTCAGCAGCACATGAGTCAGGGGAGTTGATAGGAGTGATCCTGACGCTGCAGGTCAGTCACACTGAGCAGGAGGCTTCAGGAAGGGAACAGGAATGCTATAAAGAACTGTGATTTTCCCACAGGCAGCAGTGATCCATGCATGCTTGTGAGCTGAGTCAGAGAACTACACGGTCACAGAACGGTATCACGGTCATAGAACAGACACCACACGGTCTAACCCTGAACCTAGCCTGGGTGAACACAACATTGTGGCATGCAGCACTACACCGAGTCAGAGTGTGTGTGTGTGTGTGTGTCCGTGCATGCATGTGTGTGTCTCACCTGTGCCAGAGGAGAAGCCAGGGCGGTTGAAGTTGTATTGTTTGACCTCGTCATACCAGCGGTCAGCCACATCCTTCCCTATACACAGAGAGGGCAAAGGTTACAGGTTATCACATAACATTATACTTGTTTGTTGCCTTTGTCACTATTGTTTAACAGCAACTCGGGCCTAAACCCCCAGAGTGCAAGCGGAGATGACAGCGGCAAGGAAATATTATCCAAGATGGCAGCTGTCCAAGGCAACAGTGCTAACCCTCTTCAAGCTGCCAAAGCTTTAGGAGGGGCAGAAGGTTTGGGAACCACAGTTTCAGAGGAGCAGTCCAGGGAGAGATGAACTGAGCATGACCCAGTGATAGAGTATGTATCTATAGGAGACTTTATGAATCACAGCAGACTGTCGGTCAGTGCACAGACATAGTTGTGCTCTGAGTCATGGTCTCGTTGCTGAAACACACTCCGAACACAGAGCAGGGAAATTGACCCCAGCTGTTCCTGCCTGGGTCGCCACTGGACAGGATAGTCTATAGTTTAGACCTAACTAAACCCTAACCCTACAGAGACTCTGGATCTCTCTCTTTAATGTTACTATCTGTACCGTACACAGTGAATAATGTATCTGTCCCCATTTCCATAACTACACATATGCAGGCTATGTCAATGACTGTGGTTGGTCATAGGGTTAGGAGTCATAGGGTTAGAGTGTGTGTGTACCTGGTTGGTCGTAGGAGGCCCAGGCCAGGTTCTCGCCACAGCTCCCCCTACTGGACTCAACACTGTGCTTCAGGATCCTTGTGCTGGCCAGAGACTCAGCATACCTACAGGGTGGAGATAGGGGAGATAGTTGTGGTAATAGTTAGATAAAGACAGCTAATAGATGGGAGATTGGTGAGGTTAGGTGAAGTGGAAGGAAGTAAGGGTTTGGATGTGGTTGGCCATGCCTCTGATAAAGGAGGTGGTGGGTGGAGGAGATAGATAAGTGGGAGGGGGGGCAGTGTGTGGGTGTGTGGGTGACCCACCGAGTGGCATCTCTACTCAGCTTGCTGCACAGCTTCAGAGGGGGTGCCTGGTGCTTCCTACGATACTCATTATGACTCTGCAACACCTCCTCCGAAAACTGCTTAGAAGCTGAGAGAGAGATAGAATCATAACACAAGATGCCATGAAAAAACTGAAAGGCTAAATGTCTATTGTTTCCCTCATTTTCACTGTAATATACAATCAAACTTTCAAATCATTAATACAACTCAATAAAACGGTAGGCTGCAGATAATCAGAGAGTAACTTAGGCAGTAGTAAATCTCGAGTAAACCCCATACATATGGCTGTTCCCAGGCTTGACTGAGTCTATATACTACTAGACAGACAGTACCAGGGTATGTATGAATGGGGGACACATCCTCCCTCTCCCCAGCCTGGTGCCAATCACAGCCATACTCACACATCTCCATTCTCTCTGGCATTCACACAATGAGGCGATTCACACACACACACACACACACACACACACACACACACAAAATACAATTGTATTGGTCGCATACACATATTTAGCAGATGTTATTGCAGTTGTAGCGAAATACACATTCAGCCTTATTCCTAAACTAAATACCACTTTCAATGGAGGATAATGTGGTTCTGGGAAACTGGCCCCTCAAATGTTCTGTCAATCAATATCAAAACACACAAATACACGCTGACATAACCACAGACACACAGCTTGTAAATAGGGAATTCCCCTACTAGCACAACTACTCCTGATACACTCACTAGTGGTTTCATCTATACCACAGAAGGGAAGAAACTGACCTAGCACATAGGCGTTACAAGACTATGTCAAATAGATTTACAGCTTTTTAAAATCCACCCCTTTTTCCTGTTGCATGATAACAGACCATTGGCACAGACTGAGAGCTAAGCCTCTTTTGTAATTACTCATACACATGCTCACCACACACACACGTTTCACTTGATAAACTTTTTCACTTTCACACAGTCATATTCCAGTACATCTCATGTAGTCTTACCTGATTTGCCCATGGCGCAGAAACTCTCGCCTGTTCCCTTTGGCTCAGTCCTCTCTCCTCTGATGGCCTGAAACAGCTGCTATGATTTCTGTCCCTCTCTCCCCCTCCCTTTCTCTATTCCTATTTTTCTCTGTAACCTTTGTTCCTCTTGCTCACACTTCTCGCTCTAGTAAACTAGTCTTTCTCAAACCTTCTGCTTCTGTCCTCTCCACTCTTACACACCCTGCCTTTTCCTTGCCCAAACACACATTATCTTCCTTCTCTGTATCCCACCGGCGCGCGCGAGCGCTCTCTCTCTCTCTCTCTCTCCTCCCTCTCTCTCTCTCTCTCTCTCTCTCTCTCTCTCTCTCTCTCTCTCTCTCTCTCTCTCTCTCTCTCTCTCTCTCTCTCTCTCTCTCTCTCTCTCTCTCTCTCACTGAAAGGGGAGACCCAGCACGCATGGCTGTTCTAATGACATCATCTCTATGAGACACATGCCCTTTTATGGCCTGAGATTCCTGCTTGAAACAGTGAGCTGGACATTATACAGTATGAAATATGTATGCACTCACTAACTGTAAGTCGCTCTGGATAAGAGCGTCTGCTAAATGACTAAAATGTAAATTTATACCCTAACTGAAATAAGGGCAACTGTTTAGAAGCGGTTTTACTATGGTGAGCCTATGTGGCATCGATATTAGTCAGAAACATTTATTCTAGTGTCAAAATGGACTACAAAGTGTAAATAGTAGGATCATTCTGGTCTTAAAGTCAGTCTCGTCCAAAACTCAGATTTGTGAGAAAATGTGGGAAAATTGTATTTCACAGAATGAAGGGTACCATAACAGTTTTCTTTGGGTTGGGTTTATTTCAATCCTGCCCACATGCCCACAGCTGGCAGCACCCAAGTAATCATCAATTCGGAGTGCAGCTGCATGTGACCCAATTGTAATACCCATTAGGGTATAGTTATGGACATCAATAAAATTACACAATGTACATGTAATTATTGACAATATTTAAAAAAATCAATAGCTCCAAATTTCAATGACTTGAAAACCTCAAACCAACTATAAATTGTAATATTGAAAGCAGTTAATGAGACAACTAAAAGGTGTGCCACAGGAAAATATTGTCCTATTTACATTGTCTAATTTATTGACGGTCCCTAACTAGCCCAGGAGATAGGCTATCCAAAGTCTGACTTTGCCACGTGGGCACAACAGCCGGCTAAAGCTAATTGGCGAAAGAATCCAAAGCCAACTTCTCATGAGTGACTAAATGTTTTGGTAGAGTGAATATACAAACCCTTGTCAACGTGCGAACACACACACAAGAGACACCAACATTAAACCACACCCCAAAGACAAATGTTGTTTGGCTTTAGTCATGGCCGCTGCATTTCTTATTGAGCATGCAAAAAAAAAAACGAGGCCAAATCAGTAAGTTCAGCCCCCCCGTTAAGTGTACATTTCCTAAAAAAATTACTTCCCTGAAGACTTGCTCCAGGACACAGGAAGCTATTCTACCCGCGAAGGGCAACTGAGTTGCAATGATTCCAAAGCCTGAACTCTCTCAGGAGAATCAGTTTGACACATTTAGAATTACATTTACATTTAAGTCATTTAGCAGACGCTCTTATCCAGAGCGACTTACAGTTAGTGAGTGCATACATTATTATTATAAAAAAATAAAAATAATAATAATATTATTTTTTTAAATATATATTTTTTTTCATACTGGCCCCCCATGGGAATCGAAACCACAACCCTGGCATTGCAAACGCCATCCCTGCCGGCCATTCCCTCCCCTACCCTGGACGACGCTGGGCCAATTGTGCGCCGCCTCATGGGTCTCCCGGTCGTGGCCGGCTACGACTGAGCCTGGATTCGAACCAGGATCTCTAGTGGCACAGTTAGCACTGCGATGCAGTGCCTTAGACCACTGCGCCACTCGGGAGGTAAAGGGCTGGTCGTTTGTTTGGTGGCTTGATCAGAGTAGTAGCGCTGCAATTCGACTGAAAGGGAATAAGCAAACAATCAAACTTTACTCGGTGTGGCGGCGGTTCGGCACAGCTGTGCTGTGACTGGGTCAGAGACAGTAGGAGATCGTGATGGAGAAGAAAGTGAAGCATAGCGGTACAAATAAAGGAGGGAATAGGAAAGAGAAAAAGAAAGCTGGAGAGAAAGAGAGTAGGGGTTTGAAGGGGAGCGATAGGTCTATTGTGGAGGTGAAGAAGAAAATGAAGTTTGAGGAGAGCAACAGTTTCTAACGCCAGCGGCTGTTCGGAGGTAGAGCGTGCCGAGAAGGAAGGGCAAGCTAAGTCGCGAGGGGATCATGGAGGTGAGGAGGAGCATAAAGTGATTCTGAAGTTTAGGGAGGAAGGGGGAGTTGGGGCGATGAGTCCGATAAGGTTGACGGCTGTGATAAAATAGTTGATTGGGGAAGTTGTCTTTGCTAAAGTGTTAAGAGATGGGAGCTTGCTGGTGTTCAGTAAGGACATGGCGCAGAGGGAAACAACTCTGAGTGAAGCAAATAGGGAAGTAAGTGTAAGGTGGTGTCGAGCAGCTGGACTGATTAAAGGGGTGATAACAGGAGTGCTGACCAGACCTCAGGGGTGATAACAGGAGTGCTGACCAGACCTCAGGGGTGATAACAGGAGTGCCTGTGAGTGCTGACCAGACCTCACGCGTGCGTGCGCCATTGCGCGCATGTTGATTTTTTCCTCCCACACCAGATCAGGACACGCAGGTTGAAATATCAAAACGAACTCTGAACCAACTATATTAACTTGGGGACAGGTTGAAAAGCATTAAACATTTATGCCAATTTAGCTAGCTAGCTTGCTGTTGATAGCTAATTTGTCCTGGGACATAAACAGTGGGTTGTTATTTGACCTGAAATGCACAAGGTCCTCTACTCCAACAATTAATCCACAGATGAAACGGTAAACCAAATTCAGGCATCCTTCAGGGTTCTTCTTCTTTCGACTTTATGTCGGTTGGCAACCAACTTTAAGATGCATTACCACCACCAACTGGACTGGAGTGTGGACCTCAGTTCATTTTTCAATCACCCACGTGGGTATATGCTCCTAAAAACCAATGAGGAGATGGGAGAGGCAGGACTTGCAGCGCGTCGAGCGTCAAAAATAGAACCAAGTTCTATTTTAGCGCCTGGCAACACAGACGCTCGCTTACACGCAGTGTGGGTGCAATGATTGAATAACATGTATGTCTATTCTGTTACACTTCAAGGACAGGACACTGCCAAATAAAGTAACCATAGGATATATGACTTATTATGTGAGGGCTTTTACCTACCGAAGCATTTAAGATGTTATAACTGCCAGAGGTTTGGGCATGTGGCAACAGCCTGTAAAGAGAAAAAGAGGTGTGCCAGTTGTGGAGGGGAGCATGAGTATGGGAAGTGTGGGGATGGTGTACAACCAAAGTGCTGTGGGGGTGCTCATAGTGTGGCATATGGTGGGTGTGAGGAAATGAAACAGGCAGTGGAGGTGCAACAAGTGAGAATGGAGAGAAGGGTGTCATATGCTGAGACATTGAGGGTGGTCCAGGTTCAAGGGAGAGATGGGTAGGAGCATCTAGATCGGGGACTATGGGGCAGGTGGGTAGAGATATGGTATACATAGATAAGAGAAAGCAGGTGACGTTCATAGCAGGAGCTATCAATAGTAGTGTCTAAAACAGAGAGGATTCAGCTAATAGTGAAAGCGGCTGGGAGACATCTGAGTATGACAGGGCTGACATGGGAAGAGGTTCGAGATTACCTCAATCAGCCGAGGCTGGAGTCATGTATTACTGGATCTTAGTTATAGTGGTAATGCTACAATGGAATGCTCGAAGCCTGTTGGCCAATGGGCAGGATATGCCAGCTAAGCCTGATGTGATTTGTGTGCAGGAAACATGTCTCAAACCGACTTTGGAGTTTATCATACAGGGATATGTAGTGGTTCATAGGGACAGAGATGTAGGGGGATGGGGGGGTGTGCCACCTTCATAAAGCAAGGACTTACTTACAGGATGCTAGGCAAAGGCATTGAACTGGAATATGTGGTGATGGAGGTATGGTTGAGAGGAGGGGTGCTAGTGGTAGTGAACTACTATAATCCCTGCCAGATATTGGACCTGAAAGTGCTGGAGAGGATGGAGGGCCAGAATAGAAATAAGGTAATGTGGTGTGGTGATTTTAATGCCCACAACACACTCTGGGAGGGAGGAGGAAGAGTGTGGGGCAGCGGTGAGAGTAGGAACAGGGCATTTAGAGTACTGAAAAAGAACTATACATCAGGCAAAGAGATCATGTTGGCATCAGTTCTGTGACACCATTGGAAGGGCGACACCTGTAGGAGAAGTGTGGGGGATGATTAAGAGGATGAGTGGGGTCCCAAGTGCATAGCTCAGCTAATCTGTCAGAGGAGGGACAAACAGGGGGAGAGAGAGAACGAGAGAGGAGCACCCTTGAGTGCTGGATAGGGAGGATGTAAATGATGCGTTGAATACACCATTTACCATGGCAGAGATGAAGAGGGCAATAGGCAAGGCTGGGTAAACTTCACCTGGGAAAGATGAGGTGTGTTACATCATGTTGACCTGTCTTAGTGATGAGGCACTGGATAAGGTATTGGTGTGGGAGGAGGGTAAACTGCCAGGCAGCTGGAAAGAGGCAGTAGTGGCACCGATCTGGAAGCCAGGGAAGGACCCAACGAGGCCAACAAGCTATCGGCCAATAGCTTTAACATCACACGTATAGATGATGATGGAAACTATGATTACGGAGAGGCTAACTTACTTCCTGGGGGCTAGTATCGCAACATCAGAGTGGGTTCAGGAAGGGGAGGGGAAATATGGACCCAGTGCTCTGCTTAGAAGCAGAGGTCAGGTAGGCTCAGGTGAACAAGGAGACTGTTGTGGCTGTCTTTTTTTTATGTAGAGAAGAAGTATGATATGATCTGGAAGGGGGGGTTGCTAATCAAGCTTGATTTTATGGGGGTAGGAGGAAGAACGTACAACTGGATAAAGGACTTCCTGTTTGGAAGGTCTATCCAGGTGAGGGTGGGGTAGTCTCTATCTGGCAGCTACCTGGTGGATAACGGTACACCGCAGGGGAGTGTGATTAGTCTTCTGTTGTTGTCAATCATGATCAATGATGTTTACTTTCAGGTATGGCCGGATATTGGGAGGTTGTTATTTGCAGATGATGAAGCCTTATGGAACAGGGGATGAAATGTGCCATACATAGTCTGGAAGGTACAGGAAGCAATTGATGAGGTAGAGTGGTGGGCGTTAATGTGGGGATTCAGGTTCTCTGTAGAGAATACTCAGTGTTCTTTACCAGGAGGAAGGTGGGAGATGAGGTATGATTGAGGTTATATGGGAGAAACTTGGAGAGGGTGGGGACCTTCAGGTTCCTTGGGGTGTACTTTGACAGTAGG